TGTTGCACTCATGCTCTGGTTCAGCCTCTCTTTTCCCAAACTTAACAATAGGCATGAACTTAGCATGAACTTAGCTGAGTGGCCTTGGACTCTCTCTCAGCCCTAAGAAGCTCACAAGGGCAAATCACTTCCAAAAACCTTTGCAAAGAAAATTTCAGGAACTAATCCAGGGGGTCTCCAGGAGTCAAAAATTACTCATAGCCTCACTCTTCCCACTGTTTATGGTCACATTTTTCAGTTTTCAAAATTGAAAAAGAAATGGGGAAAATTCTACTCCTCTCCCTTTATAAAACAATCTCTCTCTCTCTCTCCCTCTCTGCTTCTCTCCCTCACTTTACAGGAGAAAAATCACAATTTTATGCATCTTTTTATTTCCTTTCTCATTTGAAGCCTGGTGCACAAATTGGCATGAGCTGGCTTATGAGAGCATCTACACAGGCACAGGGTGTTTAAAGAAATACTGATTTGTTGGTCCTTGAAAGATTGCAAACCATCTGGGATAGTCTTTGAACTGAAACTTTTTTATGGACTGCTAGTTCTGATTTTAAATGAATTTTTTAAAATGATTATTGTATTGTTATTCCAATGATTTCATGCTAGCTTTAAAACATCTCATTGATAAAATATGTTCTAGTTAGTACAAATACTAAAAATTGACCTATGAAGTTTTTAGAACTGATGTAATGCTTAGCCGAGTATATACACAAGAGATGGATTGTACTGTAATATGTTATTATACATCTGAATGGGGTATTGAGATTTCACATCTTTTCACATCTTAATGAGGTAGTGACTTCCTGTTTATTTGTGGTTCAGATGGCCCAGGGAAAGAAACTGTTTGTTAGTCTAGTGGTGTGGGATTTTATTGACCTAAAATGCCGTCCAGACAGCAGCAGGTCAAAAAGATAATTGCCAGGGTATGAGGGGTCTTCTATAATGGCCTTGATTCTGCTTTGGCAGAGGGACCTGGCTAAGTCTTCCAGGGAGGGCAGAGGACAACCAATGATCTTTTGAGCTGTGTTTATCACCCTCTGTACAGTTTTCCTCTCCTCAACTATGGAGCCTGCATACCATACACCCAGACAATATGTCAGAGTGCTCTCCACAGAGGCTTTATAGAAAGCCAGCAACAGCTTCTTATCCAGGTTGTTCTTCCTGAGAACCCACAGGAAGTGCAGCCACTGCTGAGCTTTCTTCACTATGGCTTTGGTGTTAGGGGACCAGGAGATATCAGCTGAAATATGGATGCCAAGGAATCTGATAGTAGGGACAGTTTCCACTCATTCTCCGTTGATGATGAGTGGGGCATGGTCCTGTCCATGTTTCCTGAAGTCCATAATCAGTTCTTTGGTTTTATGGACATTCAGTGACAGTTTGTTCTGTGAACACCAGATAGACAGGTTCTCTACTTCTGCGCTATATGCCGTCTCATCCTCTCCAGAGATGAGACCAATCATGGTCGTGTCATCCGCAAACTTTATGATGGTGTTTGTTGCGTGGCTTGGTGAGCAGTCAAAGGTGTACAAGGCATATAGCAGGGGGCTCAAGACACAACCCTGGGCTGAACCAATACTGAGTGTAATAGTGGAAGAAAGATGGGGGCCAAGTCTAACAAACTGTGGTCTGTTTGTCAAAAAGTTCTTAATCCAGGAGCACGTGGGGGTGGGGACCTGCAGATTATACAGTTTGGTTACTAGTATATCTGGGATGATAGTGTTAAACGCAGAGCTGTAGTCCACAAAGAGCAACCTCACATAGCTCTGTTTGTTCTCCAGATGACTCAGCAGTTTATGAAGTGTGATGGCCACAGCATCCTCTGTAGATCAGTTTGCTCTATAAGCAAACTGATGTTGATCAAAGGAGGGTGGGAGGCAGTCTCTGATGTGCTGTGAAACTAGTCGCTCAAAAACCTTCATAATGGAGCTTGTTAACACTATGGGCCTATAGTCATTGAGAGTGTTTATATTTGTTTTTTGGGGAATGGGGATGATGGTTGAAGCCTTCAGGCATTGTGGGAGGATGGCATGTGTTAAAGATAGATTGAACAGCTCTGTAAGTATTTCTTCCAACTGGTCAGCACGCGCTTTAACTACTGCACCAGGAATGCCATCAGGCCCAGCAGCTTTCCTGGGATTTACTGCTCTCAGTGTTTTTCTCACCTCATGCACAAAATACAGAAATTGTTCACCTAAATTATACTATGAGTTAATAGAATTAAGTGATGGAATTCCAGTGTAATTCCCATTTAATTAATTCATAGAATTCATTTAATAAAATTCCCACTACTCTATTAATCATGTCAGTTATTAGTAGAATTGAACTGTGTTGGGGGACAAATGGTTTGAAAGACTATTTAAGTCATGACTGTTCTGAAGAGAACGACAAAAAGAAATTCTAATAATTTTATTTACACAGCTTGTGTTTAGAATGTTCTTAACATTTTACAAGTTCTCAATAATTCTCACAACTGCACCAAAGCAGAGAGAGAGAGAGAGAGCGAGAGAGAGAGAGAGAGAGAGAAAGAGAAGCATTATTTATTCCTACATTAATTTTCAGACATCAGCAGAATTTAGAAAATAACACAATGAATAATGCCATTGATGAAATATTAATGTTCAGGAACAGATTCTAGTTCATTTTAGCTATTGTATAACACAATTTCTTGGAACAAAATTACTGGAGAGAGATAAGGTACAAATTAATAAAACTGAAGCATTTATGTAAATTTTTTGATCTACAAATGCCCATAACAGACCCAGTAATGCAATAACCCACCTATCACAGAGATACAGTGTAGAACTCAACTGATTGATTTTCACTAAGAACCTCACAATAAAGAGGACTAATCAAGAACTCCCAACATGCATAATATGTCACATAAAGTAATATAGGATTTACAACACTATGACCAAGTTAATTTACAACATTAAATCATAATATACCTTCCTTGGTTTTATACATGATGTCTAAATTCTTAGCATTATATGTGAATTGGGCCACTGTTGCTAGTTTAAGAAACAAGATTTAAATCAACCAGCTTAATATTATCTATAAAAATTACCAAATCTATAGTGCAGTGCACTTTGAAGCATGTATATATTGATTATACAAATTTATCAGCTTTTTGATAAACATGATGTGTTATTTTACATCTTGTTTCCATAGTCATAAACTTTAGACAAATCTGTTTAAAATTTCAGTCCTCATTCTCAATGCTATTGCTATAGAAACATATGTTTCTATGTCGATAGATCATATAAAATGAAACATTACAATGGCACCTCTAATTGTATTTATACGGCTGGAATCCTTCTGAAGATGGAAAACTAAAATTAGGTAGAGAAGGCTATTCTGCCTAGAAACAGCTGTTAATACCTTAACCATTTATTCAAAAGATTTAGACTTACCCAGATGACGTCCTCCTGTCTGTACTGCTTCCAGTTGCGACCTGTATCACTGAACATTAGACTGTAGCTTGTGGTCCAGTCAGAGCTTCCATATCTTCCCTGAGTAGCAATGCCTGTAACCTCTACTCTGTCTCCCAAATCAACTTGCAGCCATTGTTCCTTACTGGAATCCAAAGGGGACCAGCCACCAGCTCCTAAAAGAAAAGATAAACCAGAATGATTCTTTTTATGAGTGTTACATCTCCACTAAAATGTTCTGCAGAATGTACTGTTAGCCAAAAAGTTATTTCCTTCAGGATTGCACATTTTTCCTGATTTCCATTATTCAGAAACATATCCTCATGTATCAGAGGTGGTATTCAGCAAGTTCTGACCAGTTCTGGAGAACCGGTAGTGGAAATTTTGAGTAGTTCTGAGAACTGGCAAATACCACCTCTGACTGGCCATGCCCCCATCTATTCTCTGCCTCCTGAGTCCCAGCTGATCGGCTGGGTCTTCTTTTGCTGCCCTGCACAGGAGAATGGAGCTGGAAAGCAGGTTAGTGGGGCGGGGAGGGAATGGAATGGAAATTTTACAGTATCCTTCAACTGCAATGCCCACCAAGCCATGCCACATCCACCAAGCCATGCCCACAGAACTGGTAGTAAAAAAATTTGAATCCCAGCATTGCTCATGTAGTCCATGGAGGCTTATCAAAAAAGGCCCATTCTAAATTCATCATTGCTTCCCACCTTGTTTCTATAGATACATCCAGTCCCAAGTAGTGATTTATGACTGATGTTTGGGCATGTGCAGTCTGTGTATGTTAATTCTCTTAATTCTGTTTTTTTTTTTCTTGTTGATCTCATAAGTGCTGAGAAATCTTGTTTACCAGATATGGACAGCTAGATTCTGTTTAGAATTTAGAAGCCAAACTGTTTCTATTATTGTTAAAGGGAGGTTTAAGAACTCAGATATAAGAACAAAGATGTAGCCAAGAACTAACTGTAGAACAAATCACAAATTCTTCATACACAAATTTCAAATTAAACTAAAGTGGAAGGGAAAAAAGCCAGTTAGCTTCTGCAACATGAACTTGGTCATATACCAACATTTTCAAAGAGATCAACAGGAATCATTTTGAAAGTTCTGAACCTCATTAAAGGAGGAAGTGTGGGATTAATTTAAATAAATTGTTAAGGATGAATGTGAAAGCAGACTACAGGAGATCAAGAAACAGAAGGAAGCTAACTGGATATCAGAAAAAAAGATGAATAATTGTCAAAAAGAAGAGAGGCGTCAAAGTCACAACTGTTAAAGACCACAGGAAGCAACTCAATTTCAGAGAATTGTTAAAAGAGACAAAAACCAGTATTACAACAACATCTATAAAGACATCAAAGATAAAAATAGATATGGAAAAATAATAAAAGTCTTTCAATCCAAATGATATCAGAAATCAGGAGATTCCAAGCTCAAATTGGTATGCTAATGTATGCCAATGGACAGATATCATAGGAGGGGAGCCATGTTAATGTATAGCAGGGGTGTCAAACTCGATTTCATTGAGGGCTGCATTAGTATTGTGTTTGACCTCAGGGGGCCAGGATGGGCATGGCCAGGGTGTGTTGGCCAGCTTGTTGGGGATGCCTGTGATGGCCCAAGCACTCTGTCAGTGAAAACAGGCTCCTGAGCTCTGTTTTCAGCTGCCACAGCCTCCTGCAACCCTCTGCCAGTGAAAACAGAGCTCAAGAGGGCAGTCTTCCCAAACTCTAGTTTCAATGGCAGAGGGTTGCAGGAGGCTGTGGCAGCCGGGAATGGAGCTCAGGAGCCCATTTTCGTTGGCAGAAGCACCACAGGCTGGTCCTTCGCTGTTTCCAGGGTGGCCCTGTGGGCCAGATAGAGGAACCCCATAGGCTGGATCTGGGCCCCAGGCTTTGAATTTAACACCCCTGATCTATAGCTTTAACTCTGGTCTGTGACTATAACAAAAGATTGATTGATTAGTCTACAACATCAAAAATAAATAAATAGTAATCTGGTAGCATCTTTTCTGACTGATATATTTTAGTGAAGGGAATAGGCTTTTATTTCAACATAGGAACAGATAGCAGTAAATGAGAGAAAGTAGGTTAAAATGGCAGAGGAGCAGCCTCTCAGAAGAAAGCCTTCTAGAAGCAGCCCAGCTATGAGCGGAAGCTGAGGACGCAATTACAGGAGAAGCTGAGAGGCCTGAACAAATAAAGGAAATGAAACTTCCCACAGTTTTGGAAGGTGAGCTTCCATCCCAGCTTAAAAAGGGAGGAAGGGCCCTGAGTAAGCTGACAAGAGTGGAATGGATGTGGTACTGGGAACCAGGCAGAGCACCAAAGCTCCTGGTGGGATCCCTGGGGAGATCCATAGAACAGCTGAGGGAGGAATTTGACCAAGCTGCCATTGGAGAGGAGGGCCTGTCAGGCCACCCAAAACAGAGGGGACCTCCCACAGAGCCTTCTGACATGAGGAGAAGCAGGCAAGATTACAGCCCTTCTCCTCTACCCAGCAGAAGAAGGAAGAGCCCACAAGGGCAACCAGTGCCTCCCTCATGCAACAGGTATCTCCTCCTTCCTCCTTTTGCATGAACTAGAGCCAGCCACTTGAGGTGGGTCGGCCACCTCAAGCACAAATTTACAGAGGGCAACAGGAAGAGGGCAGAGCAGAGCTCTATGAACCGCCCCGGTTCAGGGGGAAATTTGATGGGGACCCAGACCAGCTAGCTCTATTCCTTGACTCAGCTGAGATCCACCTAGAATGTTATGGATACCTCTACCCCTCCCCTAGAGACATGGTGAATGCCATTTCTGAGGGGCTGGAGGGAGAAGCAAGAGAATGGCTAGCAACCCTCCATAAGAGAAGGGCCCCCTCAACTGCATGATGCAGATGACTTCCTACGACTGCTAGAGGCCAAATTTGAGGAGGCAGAGGATGACCCATATGCAGAAGATGAACTCAGCAACCTAAAGCAAGGAGGGTGACCCATCAAGGAACACATCATGAATTCAGGAGAATCAGTGGGAGGCTACCCTTTTGCCTGAATGGATGCTGGTTCGTTTTTTCAGAACCAGCCTGGACCAGCAAATTAGCAAAGTAACTGCCTATTGTGACATCCCCAACAGACTCTGAGTGGCTCTGAATAGCCATAAAAGTCGATGGGGCATTAGGCACTAGCAATGTGAGGAAGCCACCGGGGACCAGAGACAGAGGGCAACCAAACCAGAGACCACTAAACTAAGGGGATGGCACACCACGATCTGCCCCAAGACCAACCCTCTCATGAAGCCCAATTAAATGCTACCGATGTGGAGGAGTAGGGCACATAGCAGCAGTGTGCGCAATCCCAGATTCGAGACCAAGGCTGAAACCACCACCCAGGGCGTGACCTGAACGAGGCCCCAGACATGCCACCAATGCATCCCAGAGGGTTCTTCAGGCTGCAGAGGTCCCTCTCCAGCCAGCTGAAGATGGAAGAACTCCAGACAATGACAACCAGTCACTGGATCCTTACGACAGCGAGGACAAGGGTGAAGACGACCCAATGGTGAGTGGACTGATTCTCCCTTTTGTTTTCCCAATATGGCTTATGGCCCCAAGCACAGGGAATAAGAGACTTTTCCAAGCCTTAATAGATTCAGGCTGCACCAGATGCCTGATCAATCTGACCACGGTCCTAAAACTGGGGATTAGAGTGAAAAAGCTAACCCACCCCATCCAGTTCAAACAAGTAGATGGCTCCCTACTGGGAGGAGTCTATGCCACTCACTTAACTGAACCAGTGAGACTAGAGCTAGCAGAATACTGGGAGACAATTCAATTAATAGTAGCTCCCAAAATGACAGATGCAGTCATACTGAGACTTTCCTGGTGAGGCCCGACCATCTGGTGGCAAGAGGGCAGCCACAGGTTGAGGATAGCAAAGGGACCCCAAATCCTTTCTCACCATCAAATGGAGGCACCACCCATGCAAGGAACCCCTTCTGAGAGTTCACCAGAACCCCAGAGGTCGGACAGATCCCCAGAGAATATCAAGACCTCGCTGAAGTATTCAGCGAGACTGGGTGTGACATCCTACACCCCCGCACACCGTGGAACAGACTGCACCATAGAAATCATCCCTGGGGCAAAATTACCAAAGTCCAAAATGTATGCAATGACACCCCATGAAATGCAAGAAATGTGCAAATATATAGACAAAAACTTAAAAAGGGGTTTCATCGAACCAACTATGCCACGGGTCGCAGCCCCAGTCCCCCAGATGGGATTATGAGACTATACATTGACTTTAGATCAATCAATGGACTCTGTGTACGCAACCTATATCACCTCCCGCTCATGAAGGACATACTATCCCATCTGGCCAAAGGGAAGGTCTTCACCAAATTAGACTTCAGAGAAGCATACTATTGAGTTTGCATCAGAGAGGGAGACAAATGGAAAACAGCATTCAACTGCCCCCTAGGGAGCTTTCAATTAAAAGTCATGCCTTTCGGACTACAGGGTGCCCCAGCGATGTTCATACAATTAATTAACGAGGTGCTACATGAACATCTTTATAAGGGGGTCCTTCTCTACTTGGACAACATTTCTCATCTACACTGAGATGATGGACGACCATGTACCCCTAGTGCACCAAGTACTGAAAAAACTTCTAGCAGCAAATCTGTATGTCAAGCTCTTGAAATGTGAATTTCACCACACACAGTTGGACTACCTGCGATACCAGGTCTCAAATAAAGGCATAGAGATGGACCCAGCCAAAGTACAAGCCATCCTCAGTTGGCAAGCCCCTTGCACCCACAGACAGCTACAAAACTTTTTGGGGTTTGCAAACTTTAACCTTAACCTTAACCTTAGACTATCTACTATTGACCTAATCCCTTTCCTAAGAGGTCTGTGGGGGGCATGCATAAGCGCACCAATGTGCCTACCGTCCCTGTCCTACTGTTTCTTTTATTTATTTATTTTTATTTTTTATTTTTCTTATATATATCCATGTATTCATAACAATGTTTTTACTTATACCTTGTAAGCAATTGACAAACCAAGTAAATAAATAAAAAATAAAAATAAAACTTCTACCAGCAATTCATCCCCTCCTTTGCAAGGATTGCCAAACCCATGATGGACCTTCTAAAGACAGGGAGCGCATAAATGAAACCCCACCCAGGACAACTCCTAC